ATTGCCTGAACTGCCATTTGACCAAGTGCTTATCTGCACAACTGCACAAACCCATACCATCAGTTAGGAAAAACAATTTTCCCTGGCTACTCGAGACAGCCTAATTACCTAATCTGACAGGTTATTAATGGTCCAAGTCAACAAAAAGTATAATGGATGCTGATAAGCACAAGCTGCCTGAACATTTGGCACGTACAACACAGCCAGAAATCTTTGCTGTGAAATGCTGCCATTGGCCACAGAACTGAACTGTCTGATTTCTCAGGGTTTCATTTAACAGGTCTATCAACATGATGAAGAGACAAACTAGCAAGTTTAATCCATTAATGAGGACTGTGAATCAGCCGAACAGTATAAAAGATATTTATGTAGCAGGTTAATGTAAAAATAAATCTCTGCTTCATTTCTCAATAATTGTAACACCCTCGCCTCCATCCTAGGAAGGAGAGCAGCACATGTCTGTGTTCACCAGGAAATGGGCAGCAAGAATTATGACAGAGCCCTTGTTTAAAGCACTGTCAGCACTCCCATAACTCACCACAAGTGCTGCACTATTTCATGGGTCTGTTTTAAAGATCCAATTACTAGACTCACATGATCCCGTCAGAAGCTCAGGTTTTCATTTTAAAGAGGAAAAAAAGATATATTACCTGCACCTACTGGGAGCAATGGACAAAGGTGTTTCCTAAACAGCTCAAAGACAGAAAGTATTGAAACAGAAGTTCGTGGCACCAGTTATTTATTTTAACCTCAGGGCTCCACAGGCCACTCTTTTAATCGTTTGGCTTTTTCCCCCTAAGGTGTAAATGCCTGCGGATAGCATCATTGAGGCATTTAAGGATGAAAAGAAAGAAACAGATTTGTCCCTTAGACTTCAAATTGTATTTAGGCATTCCAAAGCTGATAGTAGCTGGAACAACTGCACCACAAAGGCAAACAGCGGCTCACAACTTTAACACCCACGAGATAGATTTTTCACAGAAACTATTTAAATTCAGTCTGGTTCACTGACTTTTTTTAAATTAAGTAGAACATCTTTTATTGTGTTTTGTTGCTCCAATTCCCTGTGAGAACTTTCATCCACTTATGTAGGTAGTCCACTTCTTTCCTCAAGCATCCATCTTCTACTGCTCATACAATGAAAAAGTTTAAGGGGGTTACCTGGGCAATGAACACTCCAGATCTCATGTATGTTTTGAACCATGTCCCATCATTAAGCAAAACTTCACACCACTGGAATATTTATTTCTGTATCTCTGCAAGTCCCCAGCTTCATGACAGCCACACCTTGGAAAAATATGAGACACCTACCCACTTCAATGTGCTCTGGATGATGCTCCTAAATGACTTTTAAAATCAAGATACTTCAGGGTGTTCCACATTTACAACAGCTTGTACTCCCTGCAAATAAGTCCCAGTGGCTCACTCAATGCTTGCACTGCTTAGAGCACTTTAGGGCTTCTAATCCAGATAAGGTAATTATTGATTTCTTTGCATGGTTTTTCCTCTGCCCCGCAGTAAAACTACAGATATCTACATAAGCATTCTGAGGCAAACTCAAATATTTTAAATCACAGCAAAGAGAAATGCAAAGCAATTTTGCTTGGAAATGCCAAGTGAGCCACATCAAAAACATAATCTTTCATTAATGTTAAAATTTTTCACCACTATTGTGATTTAACCCCAGACAGCAACTAAACACCACACAGCTTCCACAGCTGAGGATGAGGCGCTGTGGTCTGGGATGTCCCTGGGCTCAGCTGTCCTGGCTGGGTCCCATCCCAGCTCCTTGTGCACCCCCAGCCTCTCGCTGCTGGGCTGGGCTCAGGAGCAGAGAAGGCCTCGGCTCAGGGTAAACCCTGCTCAGCAGTAACAAAAACATCTCTGAGTTATCAGCACTGCAGCCAGCACAAATCCAAACCATGGGCCAAAAACAACTACTGTAGAGAAAATTAACTCCCTCCCACCTTCTCAAAATCCCACTATATCTAGCCAACAGCAATGGCTCATACTGTCCACAAGACTATTGGTGATATTGGATGATACTGGAGGCTGCAGACATTTAATGGATACAATTAAGGTCAACAGAGAAGAGAAGTCATGATATAACCTGCAGAATATTATTAGCCTGTTTAGCCAGTGATACCATCATTCCTTAAAACTATTATTGGGCCAAAACCACAGTCATTCTGTGGTGTTAGTTCTGTATAACTGAGCTAGACGTGTTTCTCTTTTCCCGTAACTGTGTAACACCAGTTACATCTTTAACAACTACATCTTTAACAACTCTCTGCTATTCATCATTTGCCTCTCAGTAATTTCAAGCTCAGACCTTGCACCAGTTCACTGTTGCAGGGCACCAGGGGGTCCTGGAGCTCTGGGCACTCCCACATGTGTGTATGCAGTAACACTGCAGCCCATGGCAAAGACATGAAGCTAAACATGAACAAACAGTGAAGTCTCCTTCAAACCAGGCTCCTCACCCTGCAAATGGCTTTGCATAATGCTTCACTATAAAGTTTTAAAAAATTCCTCCCTGAGGGGATAAATATTTTCAGAAAAACACATTATCGCAAGTGTCATTATGGAATCCAAGAAAACAGAGCATCTTTACCGAGTTAGAGCAACCTGCAGTAATCTGGGGTGTAGTAATCTCTGTTGCTATTCCTTTTCTCATCTCTAGAGTGCACATAATTTCCACCTATGGGATAAGTATCTTTGCACATCTTATGTACATGTTTTGTAAAATCTAGGGCCAAGCAGGCTAATGGATCACAAAATGAATGAATTTCTGCTGTTGGATCACAAACATGAAGAAGTAAGGGAAAGGAAAAAATACAACAAATACACCAGAGAAGTAATAGAAACGGGAAGATACATGAAATGGCACAAAGGTATGCAGGAAGTGACATAAAAAATTTAACTAGTGAGGGGTAAATATTCCTAAGATGTTCTTTCATGTGTATATGTAAAAATCAATCAACAGAGCATATACCTAATTGTATTTCACAATTCTGCATTCCCTGACTATTGGAAAGCTACAATAAAATCCAACATTTAGCTTTGCTTTAGAAAGTTATTTGCTTCAGGTATGTGTTTTGACCTATGAAAACCTTTTACTTTCACACCACTTCGGGTAACATCAGAAATCTCACTTTATTCTTTCACAAGGTACTAAGTAAAACAAGCACATTCTACTTCCCTCACTGTTCACGGGCAGGTTTTCCCCAAACTTTCTTCACATTTCTACATGTACCACAAGAGGGAGCGCAGAGTTCACCATCCTAAAGCTCTGCCAAAGAAGAGACAAAACTGTTCGATGTAGCCATAAACTGTGACCGAAGTCAGGCCAGGAGTTGAGAGTGTTTTCGTACAGCACACAGGTGCTCAGACAAAGAAAAGGAACAGGTTTCTTTTTTGACAAGGATGTTACCTCACATTCTCACTTGCATTGCTCTCTTCAAAGACAGCCAATGCTGCAGATTTCACCTGAAGAAGAGAGATACACAGACTGATGCCACAGGAGGGTAAAAGCAAGGCAATCCTGATGGGAAGCCTGCAGGCTCACAAAAGCTGTGTAAATAGGATTTTTGGAAGAAATTTATAACCTTTCCTAGCATATCAGATATACATGTGAGAGCAGGGGCAGATGAGGAAAATACACCCTTCTGACTGCACATACTGCTTCTGGCAGCTGTGACTTCTCATTAAAACACTATCAGAAAATAGCTCCCTAAAAAAACCCTGAATCTCCTCTTCTGTAGCACACATAACAAAAAAGAGGGAAAAGCTTGCAATACAGGAAGGTTTCCCTGGTCATTCCTTCCTTCTTTCTCTCCCCTCACCCCACCTACCTTCTCCTACAGTCATCAAATCTCTTTTTACATTACAAATAGTTATAATGATTATACATAAATCCAGCCAGCTACGGGTGGCTGCTGAAATATTATGAAGCTGCTGTTAACAGCAGCAGTTAATATTCTATTCCAGCAGAGCAATCGAGCAGATGCTTAAGCACATTGACTTCCAACCTGTAGCAGTTACACTCCGTGCCATTGTTACCACTCCTATCAAACACAGCAGCTTACACATCCTTAAACATTGCTTCATAAAGATGGACACAAACTTCCTAGGAGGAGAAGAAAACTCTCTGATTCACACTTACCTTCTTCTTGGATAAGGTCACTCTGGGCTGGTGTTACCTGACTCAAATCCAGGCTGTATTTGTACTCCTCTTCACAATTGGTTTCCAGCATGAGGTGAAGGTGTTTGCTCAGTTCAGGTCTTCACTGCTTAGTTGTTTCCTTTTAATGATTCACTCTGTTTCAATTCCAAAAAGCTAATTACAGAATAATTGTCATACAGTACAGCTCTACAGACCCTCATATATTGACTGACTCCTTCACTTATATTTTTATTATAGGAACAGATACAGATGCTGTGGATTTCTTCAGTTATACCTCCCATAAAATTTCTAGTGTGCTAAAGAGGGTATATTAAAGGGAAAATTGGATGGTTCAGTCAATAAGGCTGAGCATGGGCAACCACTTTATATACACAGAACTGTCCAAATTTCCTTCACCATTCCACCCCCCCATGCCTCAAATCTCCATAACGGCAGTAGCAAAATGGTTATAAATACTAGGATGAAACAACAATTACTTACTACATTTGCAGAAAACTGAGACACAAGATAACACAGAGATTGTAGCAGAACCTCCCTTGCACATTACGGACAGTTCACAACTCTTTGAAGTCTCCTGACTTCGGTCCCTCCATAAAGTGAGTTGGAATTATTCATAGAACCCACAGCATTTTGGAAGAACTGGATAGCTTTATATCTGCATAAATTACTATTTCTATATATTAATATAAATTTATAAAATTTATATATATTTATATAAATGAAATATTGAAGAACATACCTGGTAAAGATTTGTTTCTAAAATAATCATGGAAATACAGAAAAAAGTAATCAGAAACAGATTTTCCAGTGGTCATTTTGGAACTTACACGAGGTTATATTTAGGGCTTAAAAAGCCCTATGTAGCATATTTTTTATGGGTACAACATATTTTACAATTGTAAGTGGGTAAACATCAGCTGTGTTTATTCTAAACATTATTCTAAACAGACCCAGCTTTCCCAGAGAAAATTTAATAGCAAAAAGTGTGAGACCATCCCAATTTCACATATGAATAAATTATGCACATGGAAGTGATGATTTGTTGTCAAGGGCCAGAAAAGGAAGAAGGAATGTGGCCTTCCAAGTTCTAGTTCAACATTCATAGTCAGCCCTTAAATAAAGTAACTTGGAAAAAAAAAAAAAGTAATTTTCACTCTAGGAATATGTAAACATGATAGAGAACTGTCACCCCTCAGAAATCGTAAAATATGAACCCTTAAAGAGAGATAAAACATGGGGGGTTTTAGTCTATTATCTAGCACTTTCTAGGGAAAAAACAAATTAATATTGCATCCTTTTTACTTATTCTTGGTCTTCTGGGACCCTAGGTGCTACCAGTTTTTTGCTCCATAAATGCAGAGTCTAGAAACATTGTGATGTTAAGACATACATTTTTTTTTTACTTTTTAGAAGAGATGAGAGCCTCATTTAATTGTGACCCCAAAGGGGTGGCTTTAGCAGATCCAGTAAATATTAATTTATCATAATGACACTGCTAGAGGTGCTTGTGCACCAAAGAGTTCTTCACTTTCTACCCAAAGGGTTTGAGAGACAGTGCACTACTGCAGTTGCTGAGAGAACACTCAGGGCAGAATGTTCAGGTCGTTCCAGGCATCTTGCAACACTTTCATGTCACTTCAACAGGAACCTCTTGCATGCCAGCCCTTCAAGAACAATCTATTGCCTTCAAGAACCAACTGCACAAAGGGAAGACTGAGCCTCTCAGTTTATTTGTCTGCATAAAATCAAAGATCTGCAGAGGGGGAAGGAAGAGTTCTGAAAGTGAGACTGCCAAGAGATTTGGATGGGGACACAACAGAGGAACATCTGCTCCAGGCAGGTTGGTCAGAATGAGCACAGGGACAGCAGTGTCTCAGCACAGTGCCTTCTCCATAGTCAGCAATATTCCAATTCTTATCTTATTCTTCTTTCAACTAATATTTTACTGTGCTTTTGAATATGCAGCACAGAAAGGGAAGCTGAATTGCCATCTACTGCACACACATTATTTTCCAAGCAGTCACGTATGCCTAATCAGCAAAAAGCACTTACATTATTTTCACAAGTTATTAACTGAAATGGGAAACCAGCTTACTGTGATTCCATTACAAAAGAGTTACTGCACTCTCGTGCAGCTGCTATAATAAGTATCAATTGGCTTAAGAGAAACCAACTAAGGCTGTACCACAACATTCAGTCTTGCATTCTCCCAGTATTTACAGGATTGCCACACACTTAGCCCAGATTTAATCCCATAAAATGAAAGAGAGGTGCTGATCTTTGAGTTCATGCAGATCTTCAGGCCTCTGTGTAAAACAGAAATAGAATGAGAAACCAAATGTGTTAATAAGAATATGAACAATCTGAAGAGGTGTACTGGCATTAAAGGTTTCCAGCACTTTTCATCTGGTACCTAGGACATCCACCATAGTCAATGCAGCTCTCATCAGGAACTCTTCTGCTTCACCCAAGTTTTGCACTTAATTCTCAAGAGAGTAGCTATTTTCCTTCTTCACGCCAATAAAGATCCGTGCCAAGCTATCAAACCAACTCCTTTGACATGCTCAAGAAATTTTTCCTGTTAACGTCATCACATATTTCATCTCAGAACGTTTTTTCAATGTAGATATGGATAGGATATTTTTCTAAGCCTAATATTAAACTCCATTAACATATATTTATATATTTAAGGCAGTTTAAAGAATGCCAAAATACATTACCAACATGCCAAGAGACATTTCAAGCGCAGCAAATGCCAGTGCCCCTCATGCAGCTGGAGCTCTTCTGAATAGATGCATATTCTTCCCTTCATCTTTCAAACACTTCATGGACAAGGTCAGCTTTATGATTAATCTATCACATTTTACTTTGTATGGGAGCCAGAGAAAACCAAGAAAGCAGCAGCAACAAGGTTGGTTAAACACTAAGTAATGAAAATGTATTTAAATCATACTCTTTTAGGACATTTTTCAATGGCATTATTCAGTAACTATGACATAGGTTGCTCAGCTCATGACAAGACACTATACAAATCCAAAATAACAACTCTAACATCAGTCAGCAGTGTAAATGTAGCCAGCCTGAAGACATCTGAAAAATGCAAATTTATTGTGGATTGGCTTTGACTAAACACAAGTTGCCTACAAAGCTGCTGTCTCCCCTCTTTGATAAAGAGGGGAGAAAATAGGATGAAAATAATAATGGGCTAAAATAAACACAGTTTAATAATGCAAAAGCAGAGGCCAGACACAGAAGCAAAACAAGACACAAGATTTTTTCTCTATTTCCTATTAGCAGACAATGTCCAGCTACTTTTGGGGAAGTAGGGCTTCAGCCCATGCAGCAGCTGTTCTAGAAGACAGATTTCATAATAATAAATGCCCTACACCCTTTTCCCTTAGCCTTTAGTGCTGAGCAGACATCGTATGGTCTGGGATATCCCTTAGGTCAGGTGGGGTCAGCTGTCCCGGCCCTTCTCCAGTATGAGTCTCTTCCACCACAGGCTGCAGTCCTTCAGGAACAGACTGGTCCTCAGTGGGTCCCCCATAGGGTCACAAGTTCTGCCAGCAAACCTGTTCCTGCACTGGCCCCACGGGGTCATAAACTCCTTTGGGTACATCCACCTGCCCCAGGGGTTCTTCCTGGACTGCAGGTGGATCTCTGCTCCACCATGGAGCCCCAAAGGCTCCTGGGGCACAGCTGCCTCACCACAGGCTGCAGGGAATCTCTGTTCTGGCACCTGGAGAACCTCCTGCATTCTTCTTCACTGACCTGGGTGTCTGCAGATCTGTTCTTCACATATTCTCACTCTTCCCTCTGATTGCAGTTGCCGTTGTGCAGATTTTTTCCTCTTCATAATTCTGTTGTCCCAGAGGTGCTACCAGCATTGCTGATGAACTCAGCTTTGGCCAGCAGTGGGTCCATCCTGGAGCCAGCTGACACTGGCTTGTTGAATGTGGGGGAAATTCTCACACAAGCCACCCCTGTAGCTCTAGATAGAAGTTTTATCTGCTGTTGATCATGGATTTGGTTCGTATGGAAAACAGAAGTAATAAAATTTATTCCTTCTGGCTCTTGGGAGATACCATTGGAATTCCTGGGCATGATCTCCAAGATGCAGGGGTTTCTCTTTGACCACAGACACATGTGCAACTGTAACACATTTGTAACTATAAAACAAGCATATCACTGGCTATTTCACATCCAGAACATTCCTTATGAAATTCTGATAGTTTCTTTAGTCAGAGGAAATTAGATCGCTCAAATCTTGTTTCCTGGAATTGACAGCATTTGGTCCATAGGATGCATAGAATCATTGTTTTCCCCAACACAAATGAGTCCCTAGGCCTTTGAACACAATCAAGGTTGAATGTGGCAGTCTGAGCTTTATAACTTGGGATCAGGATACGAATAGGGCAATAAACTAGGAAATGTCAAGAAAACACCTTGTTTAAAAAAACCGCTTTCTGTAAATGCTACCCAGAGTCATCTCTCATACAAGAACCTTACTTTTTCGAGATTTAGCCACGAAATGTTGTCCCAAACCTTCTCATAGAGAATTCCACAGGAATAGATTCACAAAGGTATTGCTCCAGGCCAAACCAAATTGTAGTGAAAGGAATGAAGTCAAGGTCTGAGTCAAAAAGCCCTGCAGCAGAACAGAGAGAGAGCAAGGAGCTCTGTCAGTATAAAGATAGAGCTACTAAAACAGTCAAACATTCCCAGTGAGGTGAAAGGAGAGGAGGAAAAAACTGGGAAAAAAAAATTGCCTGTGGGCTGCAATGCCAGGAGTAACTTTTTTGACAGGTCACAGAGTCAGGAAGCATTTCTGCACTGACAGCCTCTATGTCTTGAGCTAGAAGGTAAACTAATTCAGCCTTGATATGAAGACAGAGAACACAGAACTCCACCACTTTTGTTTGAAAACTTAAATATAAACACACAGATTTTTAATTTTTTGCCTCATTTCTAATCTAAACTTTTCTGGCTTCAGCTTTCAGCCACTAGTTTTGGAGTTTGGGGGTTCTTAGCCCTTTTCTGCTGTACTCTCTGTAAGACTCTCTAGAAAGTAGTATTTCATTCTCATCCCCCAAAATCAAGATCTCAGGCTCAAGTCATTTTGTCATCTTATTTGTGACAGTCTCTATCAGTACACCACAGAAAGATCACAGACCTGCTGGAAGTCTCCCTGTGCAGGAAATCGTTTCCAGGACTCCTGTTGAGGGACCATTGCTGTAACAGCAGCGACAACATAATTACAGCAGGAGTGGAATTAGAGATCTCCAGGAAAAAAGACTCAGCCTTGCATGGATTTGTGCACTTCCCCTTCACCTGCTGGTACACGGCGCTTTGCAAGGTCAGCCTTAAAAAGCTGAATTCAACAAGTGTAAGGTTATGAGGAGCAATAAAGGCAAACACTAGTGACTGTTCTCCCTCCCTCCTGGGTCTCAGCCGGGGTCCCTCAGCGCTCACTGCGGACCCATCGCAGCTCTCGAGGCGCCGGCCACGGCACAACTTCACCGCAGCCGCTCCGCGCCCCGACCGAGGTTTCCAAAAGTGACGGCCGGCCTGCGGGAGGGGAGGGAGCGGCGGTACGGCCCCGGGGCGGCGAGGGCAGCCCCGCTGGGGCGGCTCTGTGCCCGCCCGGGGGAGGCGGCCCGGCGAGCGGGGCACGGCGCGTCCCACCCCCGGCCTTGACGCCACGCGGTAATGAAATGCTAATGCCGGGGCGCGGAGCCGGGCGCTGCCCGCGCCCATAAAACGCGGCGCGGCGCGGCGCGGGGGCCCTGCCCGCAGCCATGCAGAGCGCGGCCCCCGCCGCCCCGCCGGCCCTGCACCTCCTCACCTCCTACTTCATCGACAGCATCCTGGGCCGCGGCCCCGCCGCGGGCCGGCACGGTGAGGGGCGGCGGGGAGGGCGGCCCGGTGAGAGGCGGCGCGGTGAGGGGCAGCGGGGCCGCCCCGGTAACTCCGCCGTTGTCTCCCTCAGGCGCGGAACGCGCGCAGACGCCGCGGCCCGGCCGAGCGCGCAGCCCCGCGGAGGAGCAGCCGGCGGAGGAGCGTGAGGAGCGCCCGGCCGGCTCCGAGGCACCGGCTCCGGTGAAGAGGAAGCAGCGGCGGTACCGCACCACGTTCAGCACGTTCCAGCTGGAGGAGCTGGAGCGCGCCTTCTGCAAGTCCCACTACCCCGACGTGTTCACCAGGTAGCGGCGGGAGGGGCGGGCGCGGCCGGGCCGGGCCGGCGGGCGAGCTCCGGCTCTAACCGAGTGCTCTTCCCGCAGAGAGGAGCTGGCCCTGCGCCTGGACCTGACGGAAGCCCGGGTGCAGGTGAGTGTGAGGGGACGAGGGGCAAGAGGGGGTTGAAGGGTTGAACACAGCGCGGTCTCCCTCTGCCTCAGCCGGGCGCGCCCCGTCCGCGCGGGTGGTGCTGAAGGCGCGGGGACGGGCGCGCCGCCTCCGCGGCGGGGAAGCGGTGGCTCCGTGGGTCGCAAAGGCAGGATTAAAAAAGGATAAATTAGGCTGTTTACAGAAAATTAGGGGTTCTGTGGGGCATTCAAAGTTATTTACTGAGACTGCAGAGTTAACATCCTTCTCTTGGTCTGCTTAGCTCAATAAAACTAAAAACGCTTCTAAATGACCAGTTAAAACAAATGGAAGGTGAATTTGACATTCATATATGACAGTCAGGTCCCGTGCAGGAGAATTTTGTGCCCAGCTGGGCTGTGATTGCAGCGATGCCTGTGGAACTTCAGCATACTTAGAAAGACACTAATCCCTTGTAGCCTGCAGTTTGCTTAAATTACAAACGACTCTTAGTAACTTTTCCTGACTCTATGCACTCCTGGTCAACAATATCCCTTAAAAACCATTTTCTTTAGATTAATTTCTTGATAACCTAGAAATCCCCTTTTTATACAGAAATTACAGGGGGGAAAAAAAAGAAAAAAAAAGAATTTTTTTTTTTTCAAAAGGTGTGAAGGCTTTCAAGTATTTATAAACTGCAAATGACAATTGTACTAAATTTGGTTTGTGCTGTAGATCGGATATTGACTGTTCCAGCACGACTCTGGGTATGTGCCTACTTGTGAAACACTGAGAACTGGTGCAGCTGCTCAATGTGACAGTCCTGCTTACTATTGCGAAGCTTTGATACTGTTAATGACAGATCCTTGTTTGTATGCTTTGTCATTACTCCATCACTGGATCTGTGATGGTTCACACCACAGTTACAGTCTGTAAAACAGTAACTTTTTTAGCTTTTTATTTTAATATGCACCATCTTCAAAAAAGGCATTAGACGTATAAAGTACTAGTACTTTATAATTGACTCAAATAACACCTAGATGAGCTTTTTAGTTCTCTTTTGTGGAGCTGGGGGAAATTATGTATCCTCCACTCTTCCTAACATCAACAATGACTAAAACCTCTAGTCACTGACATGCCCCAGTCTCTGACAATTGCACATAGCATCTAACAATGAAAAATACATGGGTGAAAAGTTGTTACTTTAACTGTTACTGTCAAATTCCCTTTGCGGGGTACATACTTTGTAGACCCTGTGAAGGAATAGTGCAATGGTACATGGCAAAGAGGAACTCATCCCTTAATGACGCATCTAGGAAAAAAGAAATGAAAAGTTTGTGTTTGATGGAGCCAAAAAGGAATTAACAAGAAAAATAACAGAGTTGATGCATCCCCAGGGGATGGAAGGAACAGCAAAGAGCTGTTCCTGGTACCTCTTTGCCTCCTTGATCTGTTAGATCTTAACACAAGTCTCCTGAGCATGGAGCACAGAGTCAGCACAGATTTTTAGTGTGAGCTTGCAGTGCACAGAGCCAAGCCCCAGTTCCTACCCTGTGGGAAACTGGGCTCAGCCTGGAGGGAAGGGGATGTGTAGGAATAACAGTGATGCACTGTACTTAAACTACCATAATTACCAAACACTTGGCACACATGCCCATGCTCATAGCTGCTCTGTAAGGCATCCTGTGTGAAATGAAGGCTTGCAATCCTCTCCCATAGTACCTGGCTAAATCAGCTGACATGGAAAGTGGCATCTCTTTACTTAGTCAAGAGTAAACTCAAGAAATTTATCTTACCCAATTCAGTCAGACCATTTCTTCACCTCAATGTGTTTTACAAATGGAGTTTTGCTTCTCTGAGGAGAAACCAGCTGAAATGGGTACCAGCCACTGCATTGTTCCTCCTCTGGCCTTTTGAGTCTTGCATGAAAATGAAAAAATAAGAAAAAAATGGCATAAATATATGCTCATTTCATCATCGTTTCAAAGAGATCTCCTTCATCCAACACCACCCCTTATTTACTTGTATAGAATAAAGGAGAATTCCTTCCCAATAAGATTCCTTACCTTGGGAAAGAGGTAGTCACAGAGTCTGCAAAACCTTTTCATAACCTGGACCCAATCTGGGATTACTCTTCAGTAGCATTTGCATCTGTTGTTGTCACTCATGTTTCTCATTATTCATATCGTTAGGGTGGGAAGAAAATAAGAAAAAGTTAAAGGAATCTTTTATCTTGTTTATTGTGAGGGATAAAAGGTTTCATGGGTATTTCATTGCCATAAACTGCATCAGTTTTAAAACACTTGCTTACAGATATAACTGATCAAGAAATCCTTGTCACATTTTCTCATTACAATCCTCTTATTCACTTACAGCAGAAACATGATACAGTTATGCACATCTATGTATCTTTCTAGCATCATTAGGTATTACATCAATTAAATAGGACACTATTTTACAGAAAATTACAGCAAGAAAGCAATCAAATTTTCATGCTCACATTTTCCTTTATAAAAGGCCTGAATCTCTTTTCAGATATGCACAATGCTAGTAATTGCAAATATAATCTGGGTAACATTTTGCATGCAATTAAAAACTTGATGGTTTAAAACTCATTTTTGAGTTTTAACTAATACTTTTCTCTAGAGTATTTTGCCATTGATATTACAGTCATAAAATCTTAAGACTGGTATAGCAGTTTCTGTTATGGTTAGTTTGTCACTTCAGAAGTTTCTGAAAATAGAATAAAGGCAAGTTAAGCCTTTTATTGGAAGCAAAGGAAAACTGTTTAACAAATGGTTCAAGATGACTAATCTGAATGTTAATGTGTGCAGTAAATTTTGAAAGCTGTTTGTCATGTCAGCCTAAGGTATGAGGCATTGGTCTACTCCTGTTATCACTTGAACTGGCGGGTTTGTACCAATAAGGAATGGAAATCCAGCTTTTTTTTCTAATGGTAATTATTAGCTATCTATGCTGGTATTGCCTTCCATTTTGAGAAATACAAAATCTGAAAGATTATTACATTTTGGGATTAAGCTCAAAGTTACCTTTAACATTAAAAAAAATTATTTTGTAGTCAAAGTGCATGTCTGAGTGATAAAATGGATTTGTTTTGGGACAGAGAAAGCAGAAAAGCAGACATTTAATTTTGTGTTAGGCTTCTATATGAAGAACAGATTGAAGAACAGTGCTAAGATTTAGTAAGGACATGAACACTCTTGCAGTGTTTATCCTTTTCAGGAAAGGTGTATCTGCATGTCTCAGTGTGAGATATTTATTGCCTTTTCAACAGGATATTTTTCATAGAAAACACTAAAACCTTTGAGTTGATGGTCTTCTCCTGTGAGATCTTAGGTAAGCTCCTTTTACAAATACTTGGGATTACTGGCTAACAGGGATTTAAATTCATCTGATCCCAGTAATTTAGTTTTCCTTACCAGACCCCTGCCTTGGACGAAGACTGGTGGAGTATCTAGTCCTCACTGCCATGCAGGCATTTCTGCAGGGCATTTCACAGGTTCCTGTGTAAGACATCTGACTATTGAAAGCTGATGGTTGCTGGAGGAAAAACTGAAGAATTCTTGAGTCTTGCCACTCAAGAATTTCAAGTACCAACTTCAAAATGTTGATGTTGTGATTTTCTGCTGAGCGCACCTCCCTCAGCTGACTGCCTGTGAGCGAGAGAGTTCTGTGTTACCTGCAGGGTGTAAATCCCTCTGCCAGGAGAACAGCAGCTTTCCAGTGTGAATACACTGCAATGAAAGGACTAGCACAGTACTTCTTCAGCTGGATCCCGAGAACCCCAGAACAAGTGCTTTGAGAGAGCCAATTGTGTCTCTGTCAATTGACAGAAACAGCATCAGGCTCAGGAGAGCAAGGCTGGGGCGTGCCGCAGCCTTGTCTGGGGATCAGCGTCCTGGTGTGTGCAGGGCTTTTCTCCCAAACACACTTTGTGACATTCAAGCTACTTGAAGGTAAGTCACACTGCTGGAAATGGTCATAGGGCATGGCTGAGGTAAAGCAAGCTGGGTCCCTCAAAACCTGATTTTTAAATGCTGTAGATGCTATTTCAAACTTTTCAAAAACAGTTTTTGTACTGTATTATAACTGCCTCCTCTTGAATGGCTTTGTTGAAATTTAACTTTCAATAAATAGGTTATGAAAGGAAGAATGATCATTTTTAATAACTGCTCTTGCATTTCAGGTGATAGGTTAATATATGACAATGGCTTTAAAACATATGTGACTCTTCAGTCAGAGACTAGTCAAATTGACAATATTTAAAAGTGATTTATTTTGTAATAAACCCACTTAGGCCTTTATGAAAAGATCTTTTATATTAAGGAAGTGGGGTTTGTCTTAACAGTAATTATTTTGCCATTGCATTCAGCTAATGCCTTTATAATTTCTTATTGAAGGTCTGGTTCCAAAACAGAAGGGCAAAGTGGAGGAAACGTGAAAAAAATGAAATTCTGGGGACTGTTCCAGGAATCTCCTTAACGCACCCACTTGGTCTATTTTTGGATGTTCCACTGAGTCATTCTCCCCTCCTGGATCACACATGGAGGTCAATGCCTCTTTCAACATTGGCTGTGCCGTCCATGTCCCCAGCTTTTAGTCCTTCAACCTTAGGGCCATTTGGCCTCAGCAGTCTTACCTGGACTTCTCTCTTCAGAAATCCTATATTAAATCCACATTTTGGAAGGTATAGAATAATTTTCTTTTTTCTAAATTATAAAACTGTTAAAAATGCTGCTTTTATATTATTTTGCTACTTGCATGTTCTCAATAAACTTACTATAATGGCTTAGTTCCTGTGTAGGGGCACTTAATTAGGAACAGCAAGATTTGGGTTTAAGTCATGCTAATAAAATCTTAATGTGTAATTGCTTTTTGAAGACAAATTGTGCATACTTACTGTGATCTTGGTCTCACTGAACTCTAGTCTTCATAAAGACTGCTGTGACCTGTGTGGCTGCAGCTCCATCCTTCTCTCTCACTCTCTCTCAAGTATAAATACATTATATATAAAATACGCAAATACATTATATATTATATGTAAGTATATACAAAATATATATAAAAAATAGAAGATAGCACTCTTGCTGAAATTAGAGCTTGTATCTTAGTACTACACTAACAGACAAACAAATGCTTTTCACACGGAATCAATTGATCTGAACAAATTGTCTGCATAAACAGCTATATAACTTGGCCTTTTTATGAGGTGGTTTATTGCTTGCACAGGACAGGGTGATCTACAGCATCCAAGGTTTGTTTAGAAAGGATTTAGCATGAGGGGTTAAGCAAATGGTTGCTGGTCTAGATATCTGCATGCCATGTCTGATAATCTCTTGCTCATTTTATTTAAAAATGTTTTGGTTTTTTATTTTGGGTGGGATTTTCTGCCTTTTTTTTTTTTTTTTTTTTTTTTAAGGGCAAGGCATTATACTGCAAAATAAAGCTAAAAGAATGTACACTTGGAAGAAATTGAAAATTTTTGAACTTTTTTTTCCTAATACTTTGGTGGGGGGAAGCTGCAACTCAGTATTTTTACTCCAAAACAATTCTTAATTTGGGTAATATTGACTTCTTTCAAATACAGGTTTCTCAATGCTTTAAATCCTCTCATGACAACAGCTTCAGTACTAATGAAAGCTCCTGGACCCCCGTCAGACCCTGTTCTCACTGCCTTCACTGATCCAGCAGCAGTTGAAAGGAAAACGTCAAGCATTGCAGCACTAAGACTCAAAGCGAAAGAACATTCAGCACAAATCCCTCAATTAAACTTCATCTCCAGTCTTACAAACACTAACAAAGAACTTTGTTAGGAGCTCTCCCACAGACTACAGCCACGGAGGGGAAAGTGAATGCCTTCTCCAATAAGTAGCTCTCATTAGAGAGACACATTTAAAAAAAGAAAACACATACACACACACACTGAGCTGTATTTCCTGCAGCTTCAGTAACAGACTGAAAGGAAATCAACCTGGTAAATATTGTTTTCCTTCATTACAACATGAAATCAGGCAGTAAATTGGCTTGTATCATTTCTTGCACTGCAGAAACAGAAGCAGGAATTATCTCATCTGTGTAAATCAGGCTAACACATATCTGAAGCTTTGAAATCACTGAACTCACAAGAAGCTAGTCCAAAGGCTCAAAATTCTTTGTAGGAATAACCACTTTTCCAAGCAATTCTTAACTTCTCAGGAGGAACTCTTACATGCAGTACTTGAGAATCAGTACACAGTTATTAACTTGGAGACCATGCTTCATGTTGAAGTGCAAATGCCAGTGAAATATTGCATTCTAGACAGACTTGGCAGGAACAAGGTGGGGACTATTTTAAGTATGGGCTTTTGATTCAGAACTAGGTTTGTGTTTCAAATTTTTAAAAAGTTTGCTTTATGTTCAGGTGGCAATGTCTTAACTAAGAAAGTTTAACCTCTGTACATGAACTGTATCCTGTGAAAGTAGGTTAGCAGTGTGCAGTAAATTGTCTGTAGTTTTCTGTGTATGTATATACATGTCAATCAGTAGCTTATGGCTGTAAGTATGAGGTTGCTGACTATTGTTAGCAAGATTTCTGGCACACCTTACCAGACCAGTAAGATTACTTGTACATTTTGAGACATTTCATGCCTTGAGTAGTTTCAGAATTTGAATGAGTACTCAATGCGAAGTGTTAAAATCTTCCTTGGACCAACGTTGAAATGAGTGAAAACAGAGGCCTTACTGAGCAGGAGTCTACAATCCATCATGATCCTGGACTCCATGGCAGGTTGTTTTAATGTCTTTGCTGAACTTCCCCATCCAGGACATGGGACTGAGAACAACTCTCCACAGGTCTGATGCTTCAGTGTAAAGTGAGGACACGTAGTATCCTCCTGGTGCTGTGGTGAAAAGCGAGGACAGGTCATTGTATGCTCCTTTTGCAGTCACTCACCTACCTCACAGGGCTGTTGTGAGGACTCATTAAACAAACACGACACTGTGCAAATGGCAGAGTTATATAAGTGCTAATTTTTGCTTCCCAGCAACATAAGAAAGCCCAATAGTTGGCTGCACACGGAGATCACCTTTCCCACACCTGTAGCAGAGGTCCAAGCAAACTCTGTTCCTGTGGTTGATGGGACAGCATGGAACTCCTCCACTGATGCTGCCTGCTTTCTCAAAACTGTCCTCAACCACATTTACACTGAAAAGATTCTGTGAATTTTAGAATTTCTTTCTCAAAGCAGCTCTGGGCCTACTCTTAAGACTACATAGTTGAGTTCTCAGCTGGAGTTTGAGGTGCAGAGCTCCAGCTACATCATTGCTGCTTCTGGAGACTGCACCAAGCTTGTACTTAGCTGCAGGACAGAGAATGACGTTTGCTGGGTCAAAGACAAATACTCATCACTTTCCATAAGAGTGGAAGTATTTCTGTTTGGGATCACAGACCTCATTGGTAGCACAGGCAGGGAAGGTGGTGGTATTTCAGCAGTGAGGAAAAGCAGCTCCCTACTCAAGTTACAGCAGGGTTGCACTGTGTGTCAAGCAGCAGGAGACTGCAGAAGTGAAGTGAGCAGGACCTCTCACACAAAGTTTGAGTGTGTTTCTTCCACAACAGCTATTTGCTTCCACCAGTCCACTCTCATGGCCCAGGCTGCCAACTGGCAGCACAACACAGTATCCACTCAAGTGTCGAGTTTGTTCCAAATAAACCTTTTAAGTAGGTTAATGGCTTTGAACACTGTCATTACACAACTCCTGTTCTGTACAAGGTTCTGTGGTATCTTTCCTTGCCACAAGTGTCTCTCTCTTGCAATGCAGAGAGGTTCTGCAGGAAAGGAGACTCACTGTTTCGTTTAAAGCAGCAGAAACTGTCCTGCATTTGCCATAAGTCATAAAGAAAAGAACTCTGCAATAATAATAAAACTTGGGTATTTTTGGCAAATTATATTTGTAGACAAGTTCACCAGAAGCAGCATGTGATAAACAAGAGCTGAAGGCTAATGTAATACATTGCATGAAATAGTAGGTCTTGTGTTATCACCAAAATCTTCATCACTGACCAGAGGGCCACAGATATCTCACTCAGGTATGGGGGAATCAAATTCACAAGCTAAATTTCAGCAGTTATATCAGAGATAACATTTATCTAACAACAAAGTTTTTCCAATAGTTATGGTTAGAAATAATTTCAGGGACAGCAGTTAAACACACAGAGACAAGTAACTTCACTCATGTGCATGACAGCTCCTGCCAGAGCTGGGATCTGTTACCTCCACCCAGCACACCGAGCCACTTCAGCATCA